GAAACTGGCCATCATGTTGTTTGAAAACATGTCTGGCTTTCTTGAGCAAGAAGCCAGTTACATATAACAAAGAGCTTAAGAAATGATCTCAGTGATGATAAATCTTGAAATTCTTGCATCTTCTCCTTACAGTTTCTTCCTTCTGATGATTTGCTCTTGTACATTATGATTTTGCTGCCCTCAGCAATGCATCAAATTACTACATGTATAAGTCGACATGCAAAAACGCAAAACCCAATTTCACCACACTGTGTTTGCTTGCACCACCCAGACTGCCCCAATAATTTTGTTGTTTGTGAGCGTGAGATCTGCCTGGACGGTTTCTGTTGTTGGCACTTTTGGAAGTACATTACACAATGAGATACTGTTGGTTGCTCATGCCCTGGAGACTCAAACGTGGCATCTCATCTTTCTTGTCATCTCCTGACATCGTCAAAGATGTGATGTCCCTAAAGGCCTCAACTACCAGCATTCAGCCAGTGTCTATTTGATCAAACAGGAGTTCCCATTCTGCCACTACAGAATTGATTGTCTCATCATAGAAGGATTTCCAGAAATCTACCCTCTCTTGATGTTTAGCAAGAGTGACTTTTAAAATTGAAAAATGGAGTAGATTGATCCATTTTCGGGATTCATGCAGCAAACACCAACTCAGCCTTCTGGGTTCAGTCATACAAATTATAGTCCTGTCTTGTTTTTTTTTCTTGTTCAGATTTCTGTAGGCTACATGTATATGATGCACTTCATCTGCTATTGCATGACTTCTGTATGTAGGACCCTCCATGTCCAGAGCTGCGGGTGGTATTTGTGGAAATGTTTCACCAATAATACAGAAAATGAGTTCACAGGATGCCTGTAGGATTTTAAAAAGAGGACATCGGAATTAGAATTTTGATGTAGCAATTTTTTTTACAAAGAATTTTTGAAAACTAATTTCAGAGGGATAAAGCAGACTTTTTACATAAAGTGTCTGAGTTTTTAATAGCTTGACAAAGTAGCAGAGGTGTGACCTGTATGCTATTTGGTTTTAAATGTTTTGCTCACATCACAGATCCATACTCCACAGTAAAACAGTAAAGATACGTAGTATGTGACATACTGTATACATGTACATGTTAATTATGTTGTTGCAGGATGTACAATTTACCAAGTGTTGTGTGGTCATATGATGGTTGGTACTTAGTCTCAATGGCTTTTTACAATTTTTGTCAAAACAAAAGCTTATCTTTAGGGGTGATTGTTTGTTTCACATCTTCTTGCAGGAGATTACGTATGAATTGATTTCACAGTAAAAAGTACATCATGTGCATGCTGTGTGATGTGATACACAGTGGTCGGTAGCAAGTTAAAAGTGCGCTAAACTCTGCATATGAAGGTTGTGGTTTTCCCTATTGTGACAGCTTAAATTAATATTTTTTCATTTGCATTTCATATATTGCAGACACGTGGGTGTGGGGTTTGTAAATATTTAGTGACATACATGTAAACTGTATGGTATGTAGTCTAGTGTGAACATCAATGTTCATCAGTCTTGCAGGCTTTGCACTTTGTGCCTGTACATGTGGCTAGGGTGTCATGGAGACACTTGTTAGTGTGATACATGCTGTACATGTACATGTAGCCACACATAGATCTCAAATCAGTCATGTATAAACCCTCTGAATTTCTAGGGCCAAACTTTACTATGGAGTGAGGTGATTTATAAAAACTGATCATTTTGATTTTATATTCAGTCACTATTAGTATGAATCACATGACTTGTGGTCTGGTTACCTGTCTTGGGCAGATATTTTTGGTATTTTATACCATTAAATCTCCATAAATTTGGTCCTATACATATACATGTAGGCCAGATCTACATGTAGAGATAAATTCATTGGATGACTAGTTACATTTACATGTACATGCATGTACACATGTGTAAGTCATCCTTGTTTTTCAAGTCCAGTGCTCCAATGAACCAAATGGAAACAGGGCTTTGAGATGTTGGCAGTTAACTGACACCTGTGACAGACAGCAAGCCCATATCAATTAGACAAACTAAAACTGTGCTGGAACCTTGCAGTCATTAATAAACGTTTGCAATCACAAGGCGATGGGGGAGGGAGGATTCTAGTCTAGGGAGTTCAGTCGCTGTCTCAGGGCGTGCATTCCCACTTCTCAGAATTGTTCATGCTGCACTCCAGCTTGCCTTGTTCATTACACAAATCGCTCATAGGCAACACTAAACATTACTAGTGCTTGAAGAGTGCTCACACCTGTGAAGTGGCTAGAAGGATGTGGGCAGAGGGATGAGTAGAAGTGGATAGAGGCAGGTGAGGCTCGTTTCCTGTTGTAAGAGGTTCAGACAGAGAGGTAGTGATTGTAATTTTCACTCAGACATGTACTGCTGGAGATAAATGGATGCTGTGACTAATGCAACACTGTGCAGTATGTTGTGTTTGCTTCAGGAGTTACACTTATACTTTATTGTGATTTTGTGCGACATTTGGAAAGTGCATGTGTAAACTAGCAATTACTCTTAAAGGGATGTGGTCTGGTTGGAAATGGTTAGACATGTATTCATGTATTTCAAAGTGTCTTAGATGACCTGGGAAAATTTTCTGTTGGATTTGCAGCTGAGCCTACTGAAGCACTATTGCAGTGCCTCCTGCAGTCGGTTAGGTTTTGCTCATGGACACCAACTCAAATAATTGCCTTTTGCACTTTAGCAGAGTATAAACATGAACTACCGGTACAAAATACATGTACATGTATGTACAATGTACATACATGTACATGTACATGAAGTTGAATAAATTTCCCATTGCAGAAATCAAAACACTTCAGAGAATTGCGTAAAGCCTTAGCCGTATGCTATCCAAAGCTTGATTTATAAAAATGAATTTCTCAATAGTATACATAGACATCTGCTGTGCTGATTAAATGGGCAATCTCCTGGAGATAAATCATTCTGGTCTTCTGAACCGGAACCTTTGTATTTTTAAGTTAAACGCTTTTCTACTGAGCTACAGCAGAATCAGACACTAGTGTCAATATACCGTTTCTTCTCTGTTTTGACCCAAATGCCTTCTGCACCAGAATTGACTGCCAATTTGCAGACACGGTGTGGAGTGTCCAATTAGGCATCGGCTTTCAAAAGGAAAAAAAGCAAAGGAGGACGAAAAGAAAAGAAAAAGAAAACGTGTGTCACTGGGCCACACTTTAGACGGACATTTATCACATCTCGCTGTCAGCAAAAGGCCCCTTGGCTCCTGAGCTGGTTGGAAATAAGCTAGCAAGAAACTCAACTTTTTATTACATACTGTATCCCAATAGGTTAACTTCCTTAGTGACCCTCTTATCTGCAGAATTAAAACAGTTAGGATACGTCTTGCAGATGGAGGCAAGAAATGGTTGAGACAAGAATGATTCCTACTTCAAGATAGCTTCTCTCATAATAAGTTTACAGCCTTTTTTTACATTAAAAACCTAACTAAGTGGTCTATAGAGTAAGTAATACTGAGATTATGACCATTACAAGATCGCATTAGCCCAAAATATTTCTCTTTTACAGCTACATGTAATTTGAAGTACATGTAATTTGTTTTCTGAACAACCAGGAAGCTGTCGACCTAACTCTAGGGATGCTGGTAATACATACAGGTGGGAAAATAGTGTAGGTGGAGACAGTAAGAAATGGATACTTGCAGAGGACACTCAGGATGTGTCTGTCTTGAGAAAAGAAATCATCTTGAAAGCCCAGTCAAGAAAGTGCAGTGTACTCCGTAATGGAGGCCTCAGTTACATGCACCATGTACTAGTACCTGCACTATCACCTTTCAAATTTACAGTATTTGAGGCATGCAAGTTAAAAACTTTTTATTGAGAATATTTTGGAGAGATTTGAAAGTAGGTAAAAAGTTTAATGCAAATTTCAAGAAATTTAAGAAAGGCATTATATTTTTATGTCAGTGATGGATTATACAGGTGTGAAGACACATGTACATGTGCATGTACATGTACATGTGCATTCATGTATTGACTTCCATGCTTGGTTGATTCTCTGTTTGCTTGTTTGTCCTGTCCACTTGTCATTTTGCCTTGGAGAAAGATTCTGCTAGGATTGAAACGTCAGGCCCTCCATATTTTGAGACTTCCTGGGGAAACGAAATTTATTTGAATTGATTTGAATAAATCTGATTTATAAAGGCAAATCTTACCTACATGTACAGTGTAGTTTGCATCCTACATGTATTATCGCGTTCTTTTTGTTTGACCAATCTGCAGTAGTATGGGCCAACATGTGTAGATAATTGTTCTACTGCTTGAAAGTTGGAATGTATATAAAACATAGGATATGTTATTTAACAATTGACTGCGGTGATTTGGGATATGATATTTTAACACCAGAGGGACTCAAATGCACCAAAACCTAATATTGCCCCGAGGGTGTTAAAGCATCTTATGTGTATATCACATCACAGCAGCCAACAAGTGTTTTGTTATACCTCAATTCTTTGTAGTACTTTCCTCACCTGAAGTTCTCCAATTTAATTGCGACAAAGAGTGTCGCAGGTCTGTTGCTGTACAGAAAGTTGTGTGATATGCATGAATGTGGTGCATCCACATACACATGTACAGTATGAGGAAATAAACTCCAAACGAACTTCAATCTTTGACAAAAAGTTGTCCTTCAGCAGTTGAATGTATCATACATGTACCGGTAAACTACAGGTACCAGTGAATATGAGAGTCTTGTGAGTGGTGTCTCCATTATGGTTTGGACTGAGGGGCAGGGACTACATGTAGTCTGTATTATGATGTGACACATGTATTCATGATGATTCAAGCAAATATGTTTTTATCTCCTGGTCACATGATCAATCTGGGTCAATAAAATTTAAATACAGTATTCAAAATAGAGGTATAACAATGCAGTAAATCTCCAAGAACTGTATTTCACGATAAATGTATGTTTTATTGAACTGAAGTTTTGTTATTCTTATTTGCCTTTCCAGGAGGCCCCACAGGGTTGGCATCGTGCTATCACCCTCTTCGTCACCACGTTTGTCTTCATCTGTCTGGCTGTCTGCTCCTACTCGGATACCATCTTCCTCAAATTCCCCCGCATTATCTCAGCAATCATTTGGATCAACTTACTCCTATTCCTGTATCTCCTAGTGTCCTTTCATAAACTCTACCTTCCCTCCAATGAGGTTGGGTTGGTGATTCTTGTTGTAGTTACTGTCTACACCACGCTGCCCTTGCCAAGACACTATGCAGTCATTGCTGGTGTCCTTACGTGTCTTCCACATATTGTCGTCCTAGGAGTTTTATCACAAGCAGAAGCAGGAGACACAGTGGTTCAGGTATGTATTTTAGCTATTTTATAGCACCTGTTGTCAGTGCATGTGGCAGGTGTCTCATCTGGACAGAGACATGGCATTGCCACCATCAATATAAGAATTGTTACAAAGATGTTGTATACATCTAGTATTATTCAAAGTTTTTTTTTTCACATTTTTCCCCAAGGTGTATAAATACCTTCATGACAGTCCAAGAGAGAGACTACCGTACTTACTTGGATCCCTCGTTATTGACTAGATAATTCATTTGCTTGGTCTATAGATGCCATCATAGATTTTACCCAGAAGTCTTGTGTGTAAATTAATTCAGTTTACTTGTGCCTGTGAGGATATAGACTCGGATGGTTGAAGAGCAAATAATGTCATCATGGAACTGAGGACACTAGACGTCTGTGGACAGCAAGTCAACACACATAGGCTGATATTGATTCCTGTGCAGCTTTTTCTTCAAATTTCCCCCCCAATTGCCTGCAGCTTGTTTGCATAACTCAGTCATTTTCCACCCTGGGTTGCATCTCTGTGTCCTCTTATGTACGTTTGCTTTCCCCTTGAGGAATATATTCAGAAGCATGCTTGTACATGTACCCAGGGTTGTAACTGGTAAAGTTGTATTCCAATGCCATTGAAAGAAATTGCTGTGATGATGGAAAGTGGCACTGACATGTACGCTACCTATACACGTACTTGTAATATTTCTTATTCATGCTCTGTGTGAATGCAAATAGAATCCCTATTCTATAGGGCATCATAAACCATGTACAAGGTAGAGTGAAATTTACTTGTGTTGTTTGATGTTTATTGTTTGTGAAATCATAGTGGAGTTACACGTATATGTATTTGTTGCCTATACATTGCAATCTTTGCCTTCATAAAGGCTTAATATGAACCTTTCTTGAGAGTGTTGTAAGGAACATGCAGAGCCTGTCGTGAGTAGTGTATGAAGTCACCGTACAGTGCTCACCTTGTACTCAATGTATTACATTTCTAATAAGTGTATCTACAAGTAGTTGCATTTGGTATTGTAATGAGAGGGCACAAGATTGTTTCTGAATGCATGATTTTGTCTTGTGGATGTGATGGGGGGTCGTTCCAATTTTATTTGGATTGAGAGAAGGTTGAGAGACAGGGACATGGAGAGAGCGAAGTGGTCAACATCAGAGGAAGAACTGAGTAAACTTAGTCTGTCATGGATGTTAAGAATTTTCATCTGTTTCAAGGATGTAGAAGGAAAAATTTGTACTTACATGCACATGGAAATGTCTGCAACGAGGGCAATGAACTGCATTTAGTGAGCTGACTGACAACCCTGCTTTTAGGCTTCAGTTGTAGTACTGTATGACCACTGGCAACTAAGGAATTTTTTGGATATTTTGTATCTATGGAATATATTGCATTTCAATTTATTTTTCAAAATTTTAGAACATTGAATTCTGCATGAGAAGAGTCTCTCTGCTTCCTTAACATCACTTGTCTCCTGATGAAATTTAAGATGCGGTTCAATCCGAAGGCAGGCATTTGAAATAAACAAAATATTCTGGCAGAGGCATAGCTAAATTAGATCTAATTCTCTACCAGATGAAGGCAATTGTACCAAATCATTTGTGATCTGCCTGTCCATTTGATTTGACCAAACACATTAGAAATTGATGAGGCTACTTCTATTGGAATGTCACAAGGCTAGGAATTGCTCTCAAGCGGGGTATTTGTAATGCAATTACCTCATTAGTGCACTATAGAATGTGACAATAGACCGGCAAGTTTGATAATTGGATTTTGATGAAAATTTTTTGGTATGGTGTTGGTATTATGGTAATGTGTTCGCCAGTTCAGCGTAGCTGAGCAGTGCATTGCAGTACATGTAGATGTACAGTACATCTACATGTATGTGATGTGATATGTGTAAGTTACCACTGACCTTTGTGTTCTTTTTTCACCCTGTAGAAGATGGCTTGCAGTAATGGGAAAGTAGTTTAAATGTAACTAATCAAAATGTGGTCAGAAATTCAACAGCTGTCATCTCAATGCTCTTCCAAAATTTATGCAGACTTTTCAGTATTAGAATCCAGTTTTCATTTTCAATGCTTCTCTAGCTCTACACAAAATTTCCTTCTAACAGAATTGAAGTTTTCTTTTCATATTTTCCAAATTGTATTTGGCTGAGTAATTTCATTCCAAATTATTGTCCGATAGAAAGGCATTAAGGCATTATCTTTTCACACAATTCACAATATACCAGATGTGTACATAATTTACCTGCATATATGAATGTTCATACATTTCACTTACTGCTGGTGTTCATTTACATGTACATACATGTACATGTATATTCAATGACAAGTTCAACTTGAAGCAGTCTCTATCAAATCCAGTTTGTTTGACAAGGGATCATTGCAACATGGCATTAAACTCTAAAATAGCCTTGCAGAGTCCCTGAGACAGTCAGGGTCTCTGTACATACCTTGTACTGGACTTACATGTATGCAACTATGCGAGTATAATAATTTAAAAAAGAAATCAAAATGAAGCTTATGTTGAGCACTGTATATGTGTACTTTAACTTTTGTTGTGGTCAAATTGTCAGCTCATTTTCAGTGTATTTTGTTTGTTGACTGTAGCCATCAGTCTGTGGTTTATTATGTAGTTGCTCGTTAATTTTATTGCCGCAGCTAGCAGGTACATACATTGTAGGCTAACTTTTGGGCATACATGCATATACTATAGATGACCAGGAAGTAAGATAATTGGCATTTGGCTCCTTCGTTACAAATATTTTAGATTTCGTTAGGGAGATGTGTGAGTTACACAGGAACATCTGCCATTAGGCCGGTACATATACATGTAGACCTCTATACGTACATGTATATGCATGTGGCAAGAAAGCAAGCAAAATTATAAAAAGTTTAGAACACATTTCTATTTACCACAATGATCTTAATTTTACTTTGCTTTGCCATATGCCTGAAGTGTGAACCAGCTTTTATACTGGCTTATGTGTGCTGTAATCACTAGTTTACATTTGGCATCATTCCATACCAGGGGCGCATGCCTGGTCTAGGCAGGATACTTATTGATGTAGGGTGGTCAGGGATGGAGTCCACCTGGAGTAGGGTATACCATACACCATAAATGTTTTGTGTTGCCACTGCTGAGGGACAGGCAGGGTCGGTTGGTATTCCTGCTTTGGTTGGAAGTCAATTCCTCAATGACTCTCTTTATATTTATCATAGTCACCCCTGACCCCAGTGATGCAACCTGCAGTTGCCCCCAAAAGTCATCACACTATCAATAGATACACATAGATAAATTTCAAATGTGAATGTAGACAATGACATTCTCTAACTTAGGTGGCTTTATATCAAAACTCATGCCTGTGTCTTGTTGCAAGCAATCAGAGAATCTTCATCACTTGTAATATGTACTTCAATTACTGATATCCGTTGCTGCGACAAGCAGGGTTATTCCATTCAATTTTGGTTTTGTGAGTTCAAACTGGTTCTGAATATTTGCTTTGACAAAGGACAGGTGATCCATCATTTTTCCTAAAACAAACAACCCAGGAATAACTAAGCTATTAAAGAATCATGGCCAATCCAATTAAACCAACCTCTTTTTCTTTCTTCCCCGGGGCAAATATCACACTGAAAACAAACGAGCTCTTTAAATAGTTCCAACTCTGTTTTCTTGACTCAATATATTTATGTCATCTGTTAAGGTTGTGCCATCTTTTGTTTATGAAGGAGGAAATGTCAGGTTTGCAGCAGACAGTGACGAGGATTAAGTCTTTCATTGAAGGTACATGTATTCCTGCTTGATGGTCAGGGGAGGGTGAAATATGCCTGGCTTCTTCCTATGAAAATATACATCTTGATAAGGACAGCAAGGAAAGAGCAAATTGATGATATGACATATGGGTCATTAGGGAAGTAGTGGCCACACTCCACAGCTTAACTCATCAATCTTAGAATGGCTTTGCAACATTCATACAGATTTTGTAATGGTTTCTATGCTGTATTGCTCATAGCATGTGCAATACACATCATACATAGGAAAAACAAAGTATTCATTCTTATCCTTGATAGAATAGTGTGTTGGATATATTTCTAGAGTTTCTGAAACTATATACAGGTATGTCCTAACTAGCTACCTTTGGGAATAGCATACCAGTACACATTCAGCCCATTACGCATTTGCTGCATATATGCATTCATTATTATTTCCAAATTCAGCCATTTATACTCTTGGAAGTAGCCTTACAGGAAAGTCATCAATTTAACACAAGGAAACACAAGGTCTTGCCTTGTTGTATAATGATGATACAGTACAGGGCTGAACATTTGTACTGTACATGCATGGCCTTGTGTAACATTGTAGTGACAGAACTGTCTTCTGAATGTACTTGTATATGCTTGCACTTGTGTGGGGAAGCTTTCCCTGCGGTACAGTAAGGGGACAGTTTCCTTACCTGTAATTAGGAAAGTTAAAATAGACTTGCAGGGACAACAGTTTGAACTCATAATGTTTTTGGTCCCCAGAGTGTCTATATTCCAACACGGGTGTAGTCCTCATAACCTGTTAGCGGGAACATGTCAGTGTCATGTGACTTTCACTGAGTGGTGAATGTTAGGCTACATGCATCTAAATCTTGTTCTTAATACAGGTACATCTACATGTTTATGTTTGCAAGTGCCAAGGTACATTACGCATGCTGACAGCAGACAGCTCTTCTATATATTTATAGAGGCCCATCATGGTCGCACCCTAATCATATTGAACTCTGTCCAACAAAATTGCAAACCCTGTTTCAGTCTCATCCTTTAAAATTGTTGAATCATTGAGGAAAATGTCCTTCCTCCACGGTTGAATGCAGTCCAAGTTAATATTAACGTTCAGTAGTGTGCTAAATGTGTACTTTCACTGCTGCTGTTGAAGGTTTTGTCTTGAGACAAAGATCACAAATTTATACATGGATGTGTCTTGGGGAACTTTGGACATTGCTATAAGGTTAGATGACTCAAAGCACTGGTCTTATGTTCTGATAGTAGGAGGTTAGAATCCCACTGAAGCTTCAATGACTTTGTTCCACATAAAAGATTGTCAGTTGATGGTTTAATTCTCAAGATTCAGTGTTTCTGTTGGAATGTGTTTGCAGTTTTACACTATTGTTTTTCAGTGTGAAATGCACACGAGTTTAGCGCTTTGCAGCTGTAATTTTATACTTACTTAGAGACCCCTTTAAAGGAGGCATTATCAGATGCTGTTATAAGCAATCCTCGGCATGCAATAATGATGAATGTTTAGGAGCAAACCATATAAGGTCCATCTGTCTCCAACACTCCAGACAATGGAGAAATGGAAATTCTATTTCTGTTGTGTCATTGCAAGAGAGCGACTAAGGGATGATTAATGTTCCCACTACCTGAACTAATCTCCTGCTGCTTATTGCATTTTACCTTTGCAAGTGGCTGTAAATTGGAATGAATTGTGCTTTTGGTACTGACACTGTACAGTAGGGTTTGGATGGTACGACGCATGAGTTAGGTACCGTAACTACATGTATGAGCAAGGCAAGCACATCCATCAAAACTGTCGTTTAATTATCTACAAAGTGCATGTTAGGTGCCATTAAATGGATCATTGTCAGTTACTTAGTCAACTTGTATCTTTTTAAGGAGGTGTTTACTCATTAAAGTCTAATTTAATGCTGAAAGCCTAAAGGGTAAAAATTTAATTCACATGTAATTCTTTTAACAGTAAGCATCTTGATGAATTTTTTTAAGACAAGATTATTCTGTAACTTTGTATTTTTCTCCAATGCATGAACACTCTGTTCCAATACTCCCATTTGGTTAAATGTTCTGAAAAGTGCACTTACATGTATTTAAACACTGTGATGTCATCCAGGGAAGACGTAGCTCACTGCATAGGTTTTGCCTAAATTATTACTGTATGTTTTTCTATTAAAACTGTTAACCCACAATTTACTTACTGAATATATTTCTAAGAAAGCATTGGTGCTCACTTACTGCAATGAGTAGAATTACAACAATGATTAGCAAGAAGAGAAAATTAGTCCAGCAAAATCTACAAAAAATTTTGTATACAAACCAGTGTAACATTTAGGCTTTCTTCCTGGGATGACATCACAGTTTTACTCATGAATACGGAAATACTATTAGCATAAAAACCAAAAGGCAGCAAAATACCCTTTGAAATAGTGAGACAAAAGTGGAAAATAAAGTAAACTGAGATACAAGGGTACATTTTGAACGTGTGTGTTGAAATAAATTGATTGCAGCTACCCTTTAAATAAAATATTTGAATATAAAAGCATTCAAGTTAAGAATCTGATGATTGGCCAAACAGCAGACAGACAAATAGACTGACAAACAAGCTACTGGTGATTTGATTGAGAATTATTGCACTTTGTTAAAGGAAATACCTTAATTGGTAAATTTGTATAGTCCTACCTTACAAAGAAAATAGACAAGACACCTTACATGTAAGTGTAGTTTGATTTCACTGCAGAGGTTTAATACTGCTGTCATAAGACAGGAAAAGAAAGAAATAAAATTAAAGATGGTGGTCTTAGCAATGCCATGTCTCTTCACCTTGCTGTATGATTTTTTTTGTGTAAAAAGGCTTTGTGTCATGAATCACATTCTGAGCAATAAATTTCAATTTTCTGTTGATTTGTTATGCAGGTCCTAGCCAATGTAGTTCTATTCATCGGTGTGAATGTGGTTGGTGTATGCCATATACAACTCTTAGACATTGCTCAACGCCGAAAGTTCCTGGATACTAGGAGTTGTATAGAATCCAGAG